TTGTCTACTCTCTTGAAAATCCTAGTGTCATGTGCAAAGGATAATGCAGTACATTAGTTTGTATCCTTGTCTTTGTCTGATATGAAGATTAGAAAAAGAACTGGAGCAAGCACAGTATCTTGGGGGACTGAGCTTTTCATGGTGGAAGACCTGAATTTTACTTTATTGACTATTACACTCTGGATTCTATTCATCGGGAAGTTAAAGATCCATCTCCCTACTTTGCCAGTACAGTAGTTCCTTTTATGCACATTTTGTGTGCATAATATCATGGTCAAATTCTTTTTTAAGGCTTTTGTGAAATCTGTGTACATTATTACATCAACGTTTTGCTCGTCTTCCATGGCACCTAAGGTTAGTATCATTCTAGCATAAAGTTAGTATCAGTCTAGCAATTGTAAAAGACAGGAGCAACCTGTTCTGAACCCATGTTGTCTGGGGTTATGTAGATGTTGTGATTCCATGTGTTTGGATCTTGTTTCTTGGCAGTCTTTCAAAGATTTTTATGATGTTTGATGCTGGAGCTATTAGTCTATAGTATATCCTTAAAAAAGCAAGAGTAATGCCAGTTCATAAAGGAGGCAATCTGGCAGACAAACAATTATTTTTTATTTTTTTGAGATGTATACAAGAGTTGTTACATTCTTGTACAGCCACTAGTACGAGTAGCGTTTCGGGCAGGTCCCTGGAATACGATCCCCGCCGCGAAGAATCGTTTTTACAACCAAGTACCCATTTTACTGTTGAGTTAAATAGAGGCTACAGTTAAGGACTTGTGCCCAGTAAATCCTCCCCGGCCAGGATACGAACCCATGACAAAGCACTCGCGGAACGCCAGGTGAGTGTCTTACCGCTACACCACGTTAGTGGTTAATGTCTCCAACATTCTTAAACCTATATTGTTTGCTGACGATACTACCCTCATCTACTCAGACCCCCAACCCACACACTTTAAATAATGTTGTAAATAATGAATTAAAAAAGTCCATTTATGGATGTCGACCAACAAACTCACACTGAACATAGAAAAGACCTACTATATCTTATTTGGAAGCAAATCAACAAATGCAATTCATCTTCAGATAGACAATGTTAACATCAGCTATAAATATGATGGAAAGTGCCTTGGCCTATACTTAGACAAGAGACTCAGCTTCAGCACCCATATACAGTACAACACATAATTATGAAAGTCTCTTCAACAGTTGGTATACTCTATAAAATCTGATACAGTGGAACCTCGAGTGACGAGCGGCTCCAGTTACGAGCATTTCGAGCAATGAGCAAGCCACTCGTAGAAAATGTCTCGACTGACGAGCTTTCCCTCAATTAACGAGTGTTCCCGCTGGTTCTCGGACACCACTGACGACAGTTTTGTTGTTGTTTCACAAGATGAGTTTTCCACATGACGAGCTCTGTGCCGGAACGGATTAAACTCATTAATCGAGGCGCCACTGCATTACAGTATGTACCTAACTCTGCTCACCTCTCACTATACTATGCATTAATCTATCCCTATCTTACTTATGGAGTCTGTGCATGGGGTTTAACCACTGCAAACTACCTCAAGTCCATCATCACCCAGCAAAAATCTGCCATCAGAACAATAACAAACTCTGCTTTTAGACAACACTCAGCCCCCTTGTTTAAATTTCTAAACATGCTAAACATAAATTCACTCCATACATTCTCTTATGACAATTAGATTTATAAAACCCTTTTCTTAAGTGCAAACCCTGCTCTAAACTCTTCCTGGACAGCTGTAATAGAACACATAATCATCAAACCAGAAATAAATATATCTTTGATATCCCCAGAGTCAAACTGATTCTGTGTAAACACTCTATGCAAATAAAGGGACCTGGTCTATGGAACGCACTCCCTAAGGATTTGAAAAGCTGTCCAACTTTTGCCTTATACTAAACTAAAAAATACCTTATTTCATCTTCATAGTTTCCTACCTAGTGCATTAAACTCGCATTGCATCTAGTGCTACCCAATCCTCCAATATTTGTACCTATGCACCTGATATCATGGTTATGTTGAGTGCATATGCTACTGCATTATTCCTTGAAATGCTCCTTAAATTGTGCTACAATGAAACAATTGATAACCCTCCAATTTTACCGTAATGTACCTACTAATCTTTGTCATTATAGTGTATTCATTATTGTGTATTAATCTAATCTTTGTTTATTGTGTCAAAATTTCTTACAACATACCTGTAAACATTATTTGTCAAATTTGCTGGAGATTATCTACTTAAAATTATCTGTTAGATTACAAACTTGCCCGAAATGCAATGCGTGCTAGAGGCTTTACAAGAATGTAAAATCATCATTGCTATGTACTGTACTCTCTTAACCCCCAATATACCTTCTTGTAAATAAATAATAAATAAATAAATGAGCATTCTGTAGGTGCAACCACAACGTAGCTACATGCTATGTTGTAATTACCTCATGCTATGTTGTAATTACTTAAGTGTAATTACCTAAATGTAGTTATAGGATGAAAGCTACGCTCATAGTGTCCCATCTTCCCGGCACTCTGTCATATAACGCTCTGAAATTACTAACGGTTTTGGCCTCTACCACCTAACTCACTGTCTACCACGCTGTTTGTGAAAGTGAATTTTATTATATTTCTTTGTCGTCATCTTTAAGCTCCAGGTTTCAGGAAATTTTCACTATCAATCTTATAAGTTCCTGTTACTATTTTGTATATAGTGATCATATTGCCTCATTTTCTTCAATCTTCTAGTTTTGGCATATTTAATGACTCTAATCTCTCCTCATAGCTCTTGTCCTTCAGTTCTGGGAGTCACTTAGTGGCATGTCTGCGCACCTTTTCCAGTTTGTTGATGGGAGTTGTAGTCGACTCTCAGTGCCCTCATGGCTCTGGAGTCATTTAGCCCTTTGCATCCTGTGGTAGTTGAAATCCAATATTGACTGTTTCGTATCTCTAGCAGATGACCCTTTGAATTGGCAGTTGAATTTTGCTGGGTTCCCAGCCATATTGATGTTGCCTTGTATGAGTGTGTGGACACTGCTGTTAATGAGAACATTTGTATTTGTCCTACTTCCCAAAAAGTGATTTCTTATTTAGATTTCTTGCCAGTCATTCATTCCTCAATTTACGACTGTTGACAGGGTTGTTGGTCTGGTGTTACAAGTAACAAACTGTTCACTCTTAAAGATAACCTATTTCCTTGGCCTTCCTCCTACCACCGTAATAGATGGTGGGAAATGGCCCTGGCTAGGTTTTGTATTGACCCCACATGCTTAACTCATGATCACTAAATGGAATGCTATCTTGCTCATTCTCTGAACTGTAATATCAAACCTAGTCATGCAACTCCTTGTAGAATGTCCTGATTTTCAGGAAGATTGTGTGGTTTGCTTTTGTAATGTCCCCTCAGGGTCATTTGTCCCTCAATAGAATTCATGGTGAATCTGATACCTTTGATATCACTCATCTTGTGTCCTATTGTTTTCGTATTGGCATCCCGAGTGATAATTAGCACCTTTTACAGACCCAACGACACAGACTTCATAGTCTTCCTATCTTGGTGCCTTCTTTTGAGAATTACTTACTTCCTAAAGGAACATGAAGTGCCATTGGATGATACGTAGATGCACCAAACTGAGGCTGTATGTCTCGTTCTGTGAACATGACCTGCATCTGGTTCATTGGTATCTGAACCTTGTACATAGAAGACCCCGACAGTGATAAAGACTGTTTCACCATCATCAATAAATAATTGTAGTTACTTCGTTGTCATTAAAACTTTGGTCTGGCCTGGCCTGGCCTGGCCTGGCCTGTCCGTGCATTCCTGAGCATAACCTTTCTGGGCTTTCAGTGACACTCATGAATCACTTGGCAATGGGAATTTGTTTTTACAAACATTACAAACAATGGGAATTTCTCTCAACTATTTGTTGGTTTATAAGTACATATTTGGTGTCAAACTTAAAAAATACATTGTCTGGAGAATAGATGCCAACAAAAAGTATATTTATAATAGTTTATGCTCCTCTCTGCACGTTCCTGAATGTAAACATAGGGTGCTTGATAGGTTCCAGTGAGGAGTGCATAAATATATTTACAATCCCTTCATCTTTTCTCAGTTATTTGTTGGGTTATATTGTAACTATAAATTGGTGTTAAAATGTTTACAAATGAATACTTTAGAGAGCAGATGCAAAATAAAAATGTTTATAATAGATTATTATACACAACAGCAATAAATACAGTACAGTATAAGAATATTTTGTATTCACCTAGTTGTGCTTGTGGGGGTTGAGCTCTGGCTCTTTTGGCCCGCGTCTTGACTGTCAAGCAATCAACAGACCCCCCCCACACACACACACCCAGGAAGCAGCCCGTAGCAGCTGTATAACTCCTAGGTACCCATTTACTGCTAGGTGAACAGGGGCATCATCGTAATAGGGTATGTAACAGGGCATCAGGAAATAAACCCTGCCAATTTGTTTCCGCCATCGCCGGAAATTGATCCCCAGTCCCTAGTATTACGAGTCCCGAGCGCTGTTCGCTCAGCCATCTGAGTGGACAGTGTGAATAATAATGGTTGTTTTAGCATAATCGGAATGAGAAAGTGTTAAGTAATGCTGTGAGCAGCTGCATGCATTGCTCATGGTTGTCGTCTTAGTACCGAGGCCCTCATACCTAGCAAGGGTGTCCTTGATTTTTTCCAGGATGGAGCACTGTATGTTTACTGGAGGCTTGAGGAAGTGGATGCAAGCCCAGTGTACTCGCGGGAATTGTAAATCCTGTCCAGTACTTTAATACATCCCTGCATGTGACATGCAGTTGAAGGGTTAATGAAAGAAGGTAACTGAGGTCAGTCAACTTCCTTTTCTGATATATCTCTACTTGAAGTTAGGATATACTCAGTCTACTTGAGGATATCTCTACTTGAGGATTGGGGTCCTCAATCCTACTTGAGGATTGAGGTTACTGGAGGTATCTAAACTCAATTTTCAATTGCATAAGGTGTATTTTTGTTAAGAATTATTCTGATATACATTGTTATTATTGTTGTGAACCAAACAAAAAAATTTAGTTCTCTACGGTAAATGCTACTTTTCAAGAAACAATTGAATGATAAAAATCAGTTAGCAATATTATATTATATTATATTATATATATATATATATATATATATATATATATATATATATATATATATATATATATTAAATTTGTATGTAAATTTATATGTAAATTTGATGAAAATACAAAATAAGTAAGCAACATATAAGTAAAGGGGTTGGCAAAATTAAATCATGTAATCTAAAGTAGTGTGTTCTACAGTGTTGCATTACTGATAGATTTAAAAATAAAATTTCAATTTAATCATCAAAAAGATACATACATATATATATTTAATACAATGTGTATTACTGTAATAAATATCTGCATATTTACTCATAATGAGGACTCGTAATTGTATGGTGTCAAGATATTTGTAATGCGTGCAGATGGCTTCACAATATCCACCGCACAACAGTACTCTTGAAGTAATAACCACAGATGGCAAGAAATTAATATCTTTCATATCCAAACATATTTGCCAACCATTTTAAACTATCAGTTTTGAGAGCTACAGATGCTTAAGTATATAGATATAAAAGTTAACGCAGTTCAATACTAATCCAAACATTTGTTTCGTGTCATGATTGATAAGAGAATATTTTCAAATATTATGTACCTGCTGATATTTATTTTAAAATCAAGATTCGATCTAAAAGTCAAATATTTCAAAGGAAATTATGCTCTACCTAATTCAATACAGTATATAAAAGAAGTCTTGACAGCTTCTATATGCTTATAAGTTACTTTCATGAAAACATTTTAGCTAAAAAATATATAGCACCATAATAAGTTGTGAATCTGTGGACACTGCACCGTATCTAAAATAAAGAACATCTTTTAAACATTTTTAACGATAATGTAGCATGAACGAGCAGTAACACTGATGATGGATGCTTTAGAAATGGATGGATTTAGTGTGTTCTCAATCCATTGACAATACATGTGTAAATATTAGTACTATTTACATCTCCGTGAAAGATACACTTAATCTAAAAGCATTCAAGACCACTCAAGCAACAGCCTTAAACAAATAAACCGCTAAAATCTATACAAAAATATTACAAAACATGCACTAATACCCTCTTTAATAAAAAGTGGTCATGTAGAATTAACTACAGTAAGATAGTAACAACTAAGTGCAGTAATTATAAAATACTGACATATGTAAGTTATTCAAAGATACTGACAGTGTAAGCATCGCAGATTTATTCATAGTGTGGTCACAAACATCACTACCTTAGCCTTAGTTCCTTTTATTCCTTAGCTTGAGGAAAAACATTTGATCTGATGACTATGAATCTAATACTTGCATCAGAAGCTTAAAGTAGTAGCTTAACCCGCTCCAGGATCCGTGATAAACATAGTATAGGGCAGCCACTTTAAATACACACACGAAGATTATACCTGAATCTTTGATTAAAATTTGTGCGTTTTTTCGACCATTTGAGAGCATCCATATTAGATTGAAAACAGTTTTTAATACAGTTGTTTCTATGTTTTTCTGGGATCTCTTGACTAATCACATTTCAAGCCAAACATGTTATGGTCTTATTTAAATGTTACTAAATGTAGATTTATTGAGATTCAACAAGTATGGATATTTATGGCTAAAATATGTTTTTAATTAAAATACAATAACATCACAATTGGAGTTTGCTTATTGTTAAATTGAATGACAGTTTTGCATATAAATAATTAAGACGGATTTACAACCAATATTTCCTACAGTTAAAAGTAAGTGTGCAGTAGCATTCTGTACAGCTGTTGACTGGCAACGATCAGTGTCTGCTTGGTGCCAGTGTCTGCTGTCATATGGCAAAATTTGGAGACACTAGACCGTCACAAGCAACAATGTTCTGTCTTTAAGAATACATAGTATTCTCGATCCATTCCTCTAACGTGAAGGTGGCACTTAAGGTCTTTTCTGGATCCCTCTCTTGGAAAATCTCTGTAACAAGAAAAATATATATTACTATTTGCTAGAGGTTATATCTCTTCCTAACTGAAAAAAGGTAAAATTATTAGGCTATTCATACTATTTGTGTTACGTAAGTCATATTAATTCAAACTGATGACTAAGTCGATCAAACCTATAAGGTTGAGGAAATTTCATGAAGCAAAATGAAACAAAATACAGTAGTTACAAAAATTAAAATTCATCATTATGTCACTCCAATGCATTTTTCATTGCTTGCAAGTCTATCAAACACTACATCTTACATTGTAAAATAATATAATGGTGGTACAGTAGTTAGTACAAAGATCATGCATTAATATTTGGTGTTATTGATAAGTTATTCTCAGATTTAATTTCCTATGACCATGCAAAACATAGGAAAAAAAAGTTGCACGAGTGGCATAAATAAAACAAAAATGAATTCTAATAAACGGCAAATAATAGTTAAACATGATTAAAGTACCTCTTGAAGTACAGTATAACAAATTTCATGCCTTGTGTTAATTCTGTTACTGTAATGATACAGTGCAGCTTGGTAACAATGTTTAGTACGCAACTCTCTAACTAATACACTATTGTTACTAAGCACAAACTGTGAAGATGGGATCATATGCAGTGTTAGTGAGTGAGTGAAGGGGGGAAGGAGAGGTGAAACACAGTTAGTGAATTACAATTCATTCTTGCGTAACATATTCACTAAAAATTAAGTCGGATATCCAAAAAGCTGTGGTAAAGACCCTGCATTCCAGCAAACAGCTTCTAAATAGCCTGTAAATGTACAATTATAAAGAAGACAAGTCTGGTGCATGTTTCTCAACTGTGATGCATAGAAAGCTGCGGCCACCACCACCAGAGCACTCGGAAGCAATGTTAAGACCAATGATTTAGAGGCTTTCGTTACTGAAATTGTATTTCTTCCTACATGATTTGGAATTGTTAGTTTAACATAAATAATTTACAAATATTACTATTTAAAACCGCCTCTTAATCCCTGACTTCATTGCATGCTAAATTAATATTTTACATTTTCCATTTAGACTTTGTGCTAGTTTTTATTCCTCAGTTTCTTCTTCCTGTTCTTGCTCCTCCTGCTCTGCTCTGGCTTCATTTTCAGCCATTAGTTCATCATAGAGTTCTTGCAGTTTCTCTGGATCACCTTCAACGCCTGTGGGTGGTGGTAATGACACACAGGGTGAGGAATGGTTACGTGGCTAAAACGTCACACTGTGCTCAACATGAGACACACTCTTTGTGTTTCAAAATATCAGGCTTGGGGAAGACACACACACAAACACACGTCGTGCATTTCATAAATGGAATCAAAAGTGGAGGAGCAAGGAGGGAGGGCAGTTAGTTATACCTAAGGAAACTTATCATACAACACTGTGATGCACATATTTGATGATGATCAAATATTGGCATGAATGACAGGAGAAAAATCATGGCTACAAATATGGGATATTTTCACGAGAGTGAACAACAAATACATTACTTCAGCCACCCAAAATGAGCTCAAGTTTACCAGTTTAATTTAATTTTAAAACACGAATAAGTCATTTGATCATTTCAAATTTGTTCTGCCCTAACTAAACTTGGTCTTTACTTTATCATAAAAAGCTATAATAAACTAAAAAAAAATCATATCTGTGTAACTGATGATTGAAGCATATTTCACAAGTTAGAACAAACCCAGTACTGTACTGTATTTAAATTTAGGTTTTCCTTATATTGATGATGGCTAATTCTGAATGTGCAATGTCAGCCTTTACTATAGTTCATGTAAGAATAAATAATTGTTTTGTTAAAAACATTATAATATTATAATAATTATTTGAGAAACTACATACAATGAATTACAGTATAAATAAATGAAAAGGCCACTTTTCTTGAAATCAACTACTGTATACAGCATAAAAAAGTGTTCAAGAAAAAAAAAGTTCTTGAAGCGGTTCAGAACAATGCCATAAATAAAGACATGGAACTGTACCCATGGAGGTAGCAGAAGGTGCATCCAGCTTGTACCAGAACAGGTATGTGTGTGGATGGAGCAACAAGCCCTTAGGAGCAGGAACTACACTTCAAACATGAGGCGGGAGAGGGTGACAGTAATCACAACACAAGTCTTCAACCCTGTTTAAGCCCAAATTTTTAAAAGGGTAACCCAGGAATCCTGGTAAGGCAAAACCCCAGGCCTAACTCAAATGACAAGGGAAGTAGTAAGGAAAAGAAGATTCCTAACTTCTGCCACATTTCCAGAAAAGGTAGCCCCCCTGATGCTGCCTCGCCAGTTCCACAACCATCAAAGCCGAAACCTAGCCTCAGGCCAAGCTTGGCAACACCACGGGTTGGCCAAAAAAAAAAAAAAAAAAACACAAAACAGCAGAATGGGCAGCTGGCAGTAAGTAAATGCAACAGCAGTATGTGGGTGGAGCAGTGAAAGATGCCACTGTGAACACCAACTGGTGTGAATTGCAAGGAAAATTGTCTCGGTGCATAAACAGTTGGGGGTGACTGACAGAGGAACAGCAAATGGCAAATTATGGTGATGAAGGGGATGGCACCAGCAGGCTAACAGCTTGGAACATCAGAATAACTCAAAATAAAAAGAGAACAAGACACCAAGCAGGCTAAGGCAAAAGTAGCAAAGGAAGCAGGCTGATACACAGCAGAAATCACTGATGCATTACAAGAAAAACAGAATGCAGATGTGGTATACATTGACTTTGCAAAGACATTTGATAAAGGTGACCAAGGAGTGATACTGTAGCACACAAAAATCAAGTCAATGGGTAAAGTAGGAGGGTAGATATTCAATTGTCTGTTGAACACAACAAAAGGAGTAACAGTTAACCAAATAAAAGAGAGTCCAAGTGTAGTTAACAGCTCTGTACCTCAGGGTACAGTCCTTGCACCACTGCTTTTCCTTATTCTCATATCATACCTAGACAAAAATAAAAGTCACAACTTCGTATCATCCTTTGCAGATGACACGCAAATCAGCATGAAAATACCTTTGCTGAAGACATTGAAAACTACAAGCAGATATTAATAAGGTTTTTGACTGGGGAGCAGAAAATAACATGATGTTTAACAGTGATAAATTGCAGGTACTCAGGTACAGTAAAAATGAGGACCTTAAACATGATACAGGGTACAAAACACAATCAAATGTGACCATAGTAGGACAGCAGTGTGTAAAGGATTTGGAATAATGATGTATGACAACCTAACGTTTAGGGAGCATAACCAAGCAAATATTGCATCATCCAGGGATATGATAGGATGGATTACGAAAACCTTCAAATCCAGGGATCCCACCTCAATGGTTGTACAATTCAAATCACTTGTGCTGTACCATATTGAGTACTGCTCGATACTCACTTCCCCCTTCAGAGCTGGAGAGCTTGCTGAAATAGAGGGAATACAGAGAACATATACAGCATAGACATGATAAAGCACCTAAATTATTGAGAGCATCTCAGAGCTCTCCAAATGTACTCCCTAGAAAGGAGACGAGAGAAATATCAAATGATATACATGTGGAAAATACTGGAGGACCAGGTTCCAAACCTACACAGTAAAATAACAACATACAGTACTGGAGTGAACAATATGGAAGGGAATGCAGAATAGAACCAGTGAAGAGTAGAGGTGCCATGGGCACAATCAGAGAACACTGTGTGAACATCAGAAGTCCGTGGTTGTTCAACATCCTCCCAGCAAGTATAAGAAAAATTGTCAGAACCAATGTGGATGCCTTCAAGAGAAAACTAGATAGTTTTCTTCAAGACATGCCGGACCAACCGGGCTGTGGTGGATATGTGGGCCTGCGAGGCCGCTCCAACCAACAGCCTGTTGGACCAAGCTCTCACAAGTCAAGCCTGGCCTCGGGCCAGGCTTGGGGAGTAGAAAAACTCCCAGAACCCAATCCAGGTACAGGTATAAATGTTGAACAGGTGATTGTGTCGGTGCTGGCCAGGGGTAGCAGCCTGATGGGTAAACTCTTCGTGGGTGAGAATACTACTTTGTGACGTCAAGTGCAACTTGGAAACGATCCATCCTCACGTTTCATCTATACTGACATGTGCATATTTAAAAGTCCATTTTGTAACTACTGTAACCAATTCAATACAAAAATAAACCAAAATACTGTTAAATCAAAATCCAAAATTGTAAAGGGGGATATATAAACCCAAACTAATATAGACTTAGCCTAATGTAGGATTAGATTAGGCCTAGATCAGCCCAGGGTTAGGTTATATTAGCCATAGACTATATTAGGTTATGTCAGTTCTTACTTAAATTTATTGTTGCTTTTTCAAGTTTATACTTTGAATGAATTAACTGCAAAATGTCATTTTAAATATGTACATAAATGCATGGCACAAACATGAGAGGTTACTGGAGTCACTTAATAGTTTTCATGAGTAAACTAAGTACTGTGAACTGGACTGCAGTTTTCTGTGGCACTGCATGACCCAACACAGGTGCTTGACACATTCCCTGATGCCCTGGTGCAGTCAGGTGTTTGACACACTCCCTGATGCAGTCAGGTGTTTGACACACTCCCTGATGCCCTGGTGCAGTCAGGTGTTTGACACACTCCCTGATGCAGTCAGGTGTTTGACACACTCCCTGATGCCCTGATGCAGTCAGGTGTTTGACACACACTCCCTGATGCCCTAGGTGAGTGCCACCCTGACCCTCACTATTCTAACCCTCCGGTGATGCCACCTTCAAGTGATGTCACCTTGAGGAACACCCGAGGGGGAACAGCTCACAAATAATGAATTTGGATCAAATCTTTTTATTTATGAGCTGTCAATGGTGCTGGTATTAACATTTATTTTGTCTATATTTAAGACAGTTATAATGTTAATCATGAACATTACATTTTTTAAGACACTTGTGTAGCCTTAGTGGCTAACCCAGTTTATACCAGTTTGTGAAAAATTGCTTAAGGTAATTATCTTAAAAATTTAGGTAATTTATCTTAAAATTAAAGTCAAGCATCTTACAGCAAACTAATTTTTTGTTTTGTTTTGTACACAATCACAAGACAGAAGAATTTACAGTAAAGTCATGACTAAGTGTTGCTTCAAAAGACATTTATATCAGTGTTACATTATATAAAATATTAATGATTAATGAGAAAACATTTAACAATTACTGTATACTTTGAATTGTGCTAATTGGTCTACTTTCTTTGACAGCAAAATTTAATTTGAATTATCCAGTGTACTATAAAATGCTTTCATGGTTGTCTTAATATTTCAGTATTATATCAGTTATTATACCACAAACCTTTATTAATTTCATTTTTTTGTACACTTTGTTCCCATATACATAAATAATTGTGATAAACATTCCACCAACTTGGACACATACCCATCATGGTTTTGAGCTTGACAGAGCACATGATGAAGTCATCAAAGGAAATCCTCCCTTCTTTGTCACCGTAGCGTAGCATGAGAGCATTGCAAATGTGGTTGTTCAAGCGATACCCGGCGGAGTTGAGTGCTTGTCGAAGTTCAAAGGAGCACAAGAGGCCAGAGCCGTCCTTATCGTGAAGCTTGAAGGCATTCTGTGGAACGAAGAGCATGCATGTTCAAAGTAACTCTTTTAATGCAATATTTGTCGATGATTTAAGCTGTACAATGGGGGCCTCGACTTACGATGCTAATCCGTTCCCAGAGACGGATCGTAAGTCGAAGCGATTTTTCCCATAAGAAATAAACCAGCGTTGAATGTAATGAAACGCCATTTTCTGGGTGAGCCCCGGAGGCTCCCTGGAGCTTATCGGGCTAATGTATGTTATGTTAGACCGGGACATTAGCTAAGGAGTTCAGACCTACCAGGGACCAGCGCCAGAACCTGGCCCCTTCAGAGAGGTTTCAGGGAGCAATGGCCCTGGAAAACCCCATATGGTTGGGGGTTTTCCTTATCTGCCATCGACCGGGGTTAGGCACCCAGAAAGGTAGGCGTAACAAAACAAACCCCACATGGTAAGAAACTACAACAAAAACCGAACAGAGAGGTAGAAAACTCCCTACAATCCCAAGGAAACAAGCAAACAAGCAAACATCACACTTTACTGCCGCGCCGATCGTCCGCGCAGCCCTCCCCACCCCGGGAGGGGGAGGGGGGAGCCCCGGACCTACCGCGCCGGCTGCCAAGCTCCAGTTCGGAAGCTAAGCTTCAACCAACGCGAAAAAACCGCCGACCGGTGGGAGGGAGGGTTTCCAGGGAGCCTCCGGGGCTCACCCAGAAAATGGCGTTTCATTACATTCAACGCTGGTTTTCTGTGGGGAGCCCCTACGGCTCCCTGGAGCTTCATACCCAAAGAGAAGGAAAAGAAAGGGCTAACCCGGGAGGCGGCCGCCACAAACTCTGCAACGCAAAGCCAAGACAACCGGTCGCAAACCTGCGACCCAAGGCAACAAGAACGCCCAAGAACAGACGCACATATGGATGGGCGGCCAAAAACCTGTGCGACCCACAATTCCCTGCGCCCGAAATGAGCCCGAGACGTCACCAACACAGCAGCAATTGCTGCAAACGTCTGAACAGCACGGGCGCAAAGACAGACCGCAGGAAGAAGGAAAACACTGCGGACGACCCGGGAGACCCGAGCCCTGAAAACAGGGAACGAAGGAACCGGATCAACCACAGCGCATCCCCAGGCACGGTACGCCGGCAACAGCAAAAAGCACAACTGGACAACACAGGACGCACCCCCCGGCCAAACCAAACAAGTACCAAAACCCCAAGAACCCCTCCGGAAAGCAGCCGTCTCGACCGTCGCCAGGACAGAGAAAGGCTGCACACCAATAAAGCTACCACCAGTACCAAAGAGGAGGAAACTGAAACCGAAGGGGCTACCACAAACTGAGGGGAAGAGAAGAAGGCACCCTGAACAAGGACCAGGATGGCTCAGGCGACTCATGAGCAGGCCGGAGGGGAAACAAAACGCGAGAAAACGTAATAAACGTCATACAGTCTCCAAGACGAAGCTCGCAGGTGGGACACCGTCAACAAAGCCACCTGAACACCATAGAGATGGCGATACCTGCGTCAAAATACCAGACGCGAAGAGCCAAAGAGAAGGCCGAACCAGTCACGGACAGGACCGATTCGGCCTGCTGAAAGAGGCGAAGCCTCAGGAAAAACGCCCCGGGTACGGACACCTATCAAGCAGCGTCTGAAAAGAAGGCCGGGCCGGCCACCATGGAACCATAAGGACTGTTCTCGTGGGAATGGGCTGCAACCGAGCCAGAACCCGAAGCAACAGCTGGACCGGGAGAAGAGGTACAGGTACCCCCCACCTCGACCAGGCCTGCCTAAAGCCTCCACCGTGAAGTCCTCGCAGGTGGGAAGGGCGCCACAAAACGGGCGACGCCTAGACCACGCCGACCCGAAGACGTCCACAGCCAGGAGTCCATAAGCCCAACAGAGCCAACAAAACGAATCGGCGACGACTGGCCAACCCATGAAGAGGAATGAACCGAGACAGCCGTCCACCAGGACGCAGGACACACCCCGGACACGAACCACACGGTGAACCAAACCCCCTGTGGTTCCGGAAAGAACCACCAGAGAACAGTCCAAACAGAGCTGAATGGTAGAGTACCTAGTGACCCAAACCCTCCGAAGCGCAAACCAGACAGCCATGAACACCTGAACCGGGCTGTGAGCCCGACGGACAGACAGACTCCATCAACCTCGGCCGACCTGGTGAGCACTGGTCACAAAGCCCCAGCCGAGAGACGACCCGTCCGTGAACACATCGAGCGAAGGCTCGGGGAGCTGCCAAGGCACGGAACCCCGAAAACCCCAAAGAGGAAGCTGGTGACGCAGCACCAACATCAGATCCCCAGAGGAACCCAAGGAATGCAAGAGGCGGAAGTGGAGTCTCCGTAGGAACCGACGCCGGAGCCAAACCCGACTCCGCGGGCAGACAAGCACGCCGAAGTGCAAACTCCCGCACAACCGCCCAAGCAACCGCTGAGCAACCCGGGACCCCCTCCTGAACAGCCAAAGGCGGGACCACAGCCACAGTAACACTTCTGGAGGGAAGACAATGAGGGGCCCAAGAGCCTGAAACAAGGCCCAGGTCCGAACCCGGGACGGAAACAGAAGGTAAAACCTCCAGATCACCAGGAAACCAAACCCAGCGATCTGGAAAGAACCATCCCCTGGCGAGCAGACAAGCGGACTGACTGGGAGCCCACTCCAGCCAGTCGTCGAGGTAGGCCAGACACCGTATCTCAGACGCAGACAGGGCACTAAGATCCGGTAAAGATGCAAAGAGTATACAAAGTGCCCTTCACAAAATAGGGAATGCAATAAAAACAGCAAACCTGAAGCCCCACCACCAAAGCATTGTATGACAATCATATTAAGACATATTATGACATGTCCAGCGTAGGATGACTAAGTTAATTCCCCAAATTAGAAATCTTTCATATGAAGAAAGATTAACAAAGCTTAAGTTGCATTCACTGGAAAGGCGAAGAGTTAGGGGTGACATGATAGAGGTTTACAAGTGGATGAATGGACATAACCGGGGGGATATTAATAGGGTATTAAAAGTATCAACACAGGACAGAACACGAAACAATGGATATAAATTGGATAAGTTTAGATTTAGGAAAGACTTGGGTAAATACTGGTTCAGTAACAGGGTTGTTGATTTGTGGAACCAATTGCCGCGTAACATTGTGGAGGTGGGGTCCCTCGATTGTTTCAAGCACGGGTTGGACAAGTATATGAGTGGGATTGGGTGGTTATAGAATAGGAGCTGCCTCGTATGGGCCAATAGGCCTTCTGCAGTTACCTTTGTTCTTATGTTCTTATGTTCTTATGACATATGACAATCATTATATGACAATATGACAATTATAATCAAAGCATTATATGACAAAGAGTGCTGGGAAGACGTGACACCACGAGAGTAGCTCTCATCCTGTAACTACACTTAGGTAAGTACACATAGGTAATTACCAACCGTGCTAGCCCCAGAAAAACTGGAGAGGAACGTGCCAAGAAGTGACCTGGAGGTCCAGGTCCACCATCCATGCACCCGGCCCGAACAGAATCCGAACAGGAGACAACAGTCCTCCGAGCAGGGCAGAGGATCCAGGGTGCAGACGGAAGTAGTCCAGAAGAACTGCAGACTGGAAAAGCTCATGACTGCAAAGAGCAGACGGGAAGCCCAGAAGGATGGGGCGGATCGACCACGCCCCACGCACCCACGAAGAGGAAATGACGAAGCGCAGGGAAGAAGCCCACCCCGCCAGCTCGGAACCCCCCCAAGGGGGAGAAGCCGTCCTCCGACGCCAGCAGAGGCCGGAAGACAACCCAAAGCGCCCACCAAGAGCGGGACCAAGCGAGAGGCAACAGAGCAAGCTGCTCCCCCAGCGCCCAGTCAACAGAGAAGGGAACAGAACCCCTACAGAAAGAAAAAGTACACTACCGAAGTCATGAGGAGATACGACGGGAATGAAACCACACTTCGCTGGAAGAGGAAGTGAGGGGAGACCTGATCACCACATACAAGATACCCAAGGGAATCGACAGGGTTGAGAAGGACAGGCTATGTAACACAAGGGCACACGCACTAGGGGACACAGGTGGAAACTGAGTACCCAAAAGAGCCACAGATAGAATCAAATTTTTTTTTTTTTTTTTTTTTTTTTTTTTTTTTTTTTTTTTTTTTTTGAGTGTCAGAATGGGAACGGGAAAGCACTAAGAAGTAATGTGGCGACTCCTCACACAAGTAACGAGGCTGACCCCCATACAATGTCACATGTAGACATGACAGAGCCCAAGAGGCACAGGAACCGATACACCTAGAACCAGCTTTAGGGAACCAGATACAATAAGAATTCCAGAGAACAACATAGAACACATAGAGGTGTCTAGAGACGAAGTGGAAAAAATGCTCAAGGAGCTTGGTAAGAACAAAGCAGCTGGCCCAGATGGCGTTTCACCATGGGTTCTGAGAGAATGTGCATCTGAGCTCAGCATTCCACTTCACCTGATCTTTCAGGCATCCCTGTGTACAGGAATCGTAGCAGACGGGTGGAAACAGGCTAACATAGTTCCAATCTACAAAAGTGGCAGCAGGGAAGACCCCCTCAATTATAGACCTGTATCATTGACAAGTGTAATAGTGAAAGTATTAGAAAAACTAATCAAAACTAAATGGGTAGAACACCTAGAGAGAAATGATATAATATCAGACAGACAGTATGGTTTTCGATCTGGAAGATCCTGTGTATCGAATTTACTCAGTTTCTATGATCGAGCCACAGAGATATTACAGGAAAGAGATGGTTGGGTTGACTGCATCTATCTGGACCTAAAAAAGGCTTTCGACAGAGTTCCACATAAGAGGTTGTTCTGGAAACTGGAAAATATTGGAGGGGTGACAGGTAAGCTTCTATCATGGATGAAAAATTTTCTGACTGATAGAAAAATGAGGGCAGTAATCAGAGGCAATGTATCAGAATGGAGAAATGTCACAAGTGGAGTACCACAGGGTTCAGTTCTTGCACCAGTGATGTTTATTGTGTACATAAATGATCTACCAGTTGGTATACAGAATTATATGAACATGTTTGCTGATGATGCTAAGATAATAGGAAGGATAAGAAATTTAGATGACTGTCATGCCCTTCAAGAAGACCTGGACAAAATAAGTATATGGAGCACCACTTGGCAAATGGAATTTAATGTTAATAAATGTCATGTTATGGAATGTGGAATAGGAGAACATAGACCCCACACAACCTATATATTATGTGAGAAATCTTTAAAGAATTCTGATAAAGAAAGAGATCTAGGAGTGGTTCTAGATAGAAAACTATCACCTGAGGACCACATAAAGAATATTGTGCAAGGAGCCTATGCTATGCTTTCTAACTTCAGAATTGCATTTAAATACATGGATGGCGATATACTAAAGAAATTGTTCATGACTTTTGTTAGGCCAAAGCTAGAATATGCAGCTGTTGTGTGGTGCCCATATCTTAAGAAGCACATCAACAAACTGGAAAAGGTGCAAAGACATGCTACTAAGTGGCTCCCAGAACTGAAGGGCAAGAGCTACGAGGAGAGGTTAGAAGCATTAAATATGCCAAAACTAGAAGACAGAAGAAAAAGAGGTGATATGATTACTACATACAAAATAGTAACAGGAATTGATAAAATCGACAGGGAAGACTTCCTGAGACCTGGAATTTCAAGAACAAGAGGTCATAGATTTAAACTAGCTAAACACAGATGCCGAAGAAATATAAGAAAATTCACCTTCGCAAATAGAGTGGTAGACGGTTGGAACAAGTTAAGTGAGAAGGTGGTGGAGGCCAAGACCGTCAGTAGTTTCAAAGCGTTATATGACAAAGAGTGCTGGGAAGACGGGACACCACGAGCGTAGCTCTCATCCTGTAACTACACTTAGGTAATTACACTTAGGTAATTACCTGTTGACGGACGGGTGAGAGGCAGGACCAAGGAGCCAGAGCTCAACCCCCACAAGCACAACTAGGTGAGGACATATATTGGAAAAGCACAAGCCGCCGACTAGTGGCAGAGAGCACTACGCCGGCCAGGCAAAGAAGGCACAAAACTGCATCAAAAGGCCCACCTCAACAGCAAAACCACAAAGTCCCAGCACAACCACAACATGTGCCAAGACCCAAAAAGCTCAGTCTGCAAGCCAGGAAGACCCCGGAACCCCAAAAGGCAGAACCGGGTCACACGAGGAAACAAAGTCCCCTGAACCCACAAAAGGGGGCCCAAGAGGAAGAAACCTCCAGAACGAAACCAAGGAACCCAAAGGAACCCAGAATCGAACCAGGGGGAGCCCAAACCACCACATTTGCCGGCGGAGAACACCACTAAAAGGCAAAGCACAGACCCCAGCAGAACGCCCTGGGAAAACGGTCCCAACAGACCGAAAACCGAGGGGCAAGGTGTGGGAGCAAGCATACCAGCCAGGGGCACTGAGCCTAAACCCAGAGGCTCAGACCCAAAATCAACACCCAAACGTTCCCAGAGGAACAGGCAACGGCAAGAAAACACCAGAAAAACAAAGAAACGACAACAGGAGAACAAAAACCCTGCAAATTTTTCGAAAACTCACCAGAGACGCTCGCTCGCACACCCAGACGCATGTAAACAAACCGCAACGCCGCCCTGGTGGCCACGCCGGGAAACCGGCAGACGAAAATGGCCGCCAGCAGGGGCTGTGACTGACGCTTAATACACAAAAACACGCCAGCAAATGTGGGAAGCTAGCAGACTGGAAGGGCGAAAACGACGCCCAACAGCAGAAAAACCCCTGAAGGGGCAAAACCGCCCCAGAACTGCTAGCAGGCAACCCCCACAGCCCCGGGAACCAACAACAGAGGCCCCGGGGCAGAGCCGTCCTCCAAGCCCTCCGCCCTTAAAGAAAAGCAAGAGCCCATGGGAAAGGCAACAAGAAAGGGCCGCTGGTAAGACCCAGAAGCCTTGGCAGGAGGCACAGGCTCAAACCTCCGTCCCCAACCCGAACGGGGCATCCCCCGAAAACCGCCCGAGTCTCTGCCGCAACTGAACCCCGCCCCGACCCCGAAACCCGCAGACGGTCCGGAGCCGGGAACATGGAGAGAAAGGGGCGAGCAGCACCTAACCAAACGGGGCGGCCACGGGGCATTCGAGTGGGAAACCAACCTAGCATGTTGCAGCAACCTAACCTAGCTTGCAACACGGATGCCGCCTGTACTCTGAACAGTAATAACATCAGGAGAGTACTGGAGAACAAGCAGAGAATCACTCGCAAGACTCCGGGTCAAGGTGTCAGTGACCCAACAGGCAGCATGACGGAGGTAAAAATGGCGACTGTCACCCGGAGACAAGGGAACAGCAACCAACGATCCCGTTCAAGACGGGTTGGAACCCGGAAGACACATTCAATGGTCCCCCGAGCCCAGACAGGGGTTTCCAGGGCCCGTAGGGTAACAACTACGGGAAGCCCGGGCAAGGTGTTGCTAACCGGTTAAGAAACCCAAACATAACAAGAGGGTAGATTATAGCACTGAAAACCCCTGAGACGTGTACAAGCACGGGGGCCTAGCAGAGGGCTGCCAAACACTACCAGTGGAACTATAACCACCTTAGGCAGACCCCCACCAGGCAAGAAAATGAAAAACAAAAGAAAAACCCCGCAAAAGTACACCGTCTCCAGAGGCAACAGAAACCGGCCGCCGCTTAGGTGGCAGGCTGCGCAACACCTTGATGCCCTAACCAGCACAATACCAATCCCTACCCAGGGCCAAACAAGGGCCCCAAGCCCCAGCTGGCCCCAAGGGCGAGGCAAATGCCGAGCAGCAAGAACCTCTGCGGGAATGGTTCCCGAACGCCCCAGGGAAGATAACCCTGTCACGCAAGGGCAGTACTCACAGGGCGCTTAGGGAAGTCAGCCACTAAGCACATGCAGCCCCGGCACTGATGAAGTACTCCAGGCCACCGCACACCACAACACACGGCAGTGAACGCCACACAAGGCAAACACCGCCTAGGAAACTGAGGCCAGAGAAGCGTCAATCCCGGTTGACATTAGCGAACGAACTGAAGCTTGGCAGCCGGCGCGGTAGGTCCGGGGCTCCCCCCTCCCCCTCCCGGGGTGGGGAGGGCTGCGCGGACGATCGGCGCGGCAGTAAAGTGTGATGTTTGCTTGTTTGCTTGTTTCCTTGGGATTGTAGGGAGTTTTCTACCTCTCTGTTCGGTTTTTGTTGTAGTTTCTTACCATGTGGGGTTTGTTTTGTTACGCCTACCTTTCTGGGTGCCTAACCCCGGTCGATGGCAGATAAGGAAAACCCCCAACCATATGAGGTTTTCCAGGGCCATTGCTCCCTGAAACCTCTCTGAAGGGGCCAGGTTCTGGCGCTGGTCCCTGGTAGGTCTGAACTCCTTAGCTAATGTCCCGGTCTAACATAACATACATTAGCCCGATAAGCTCCAGGGAGCCGTAGGGGCTCCCCACAGAAAAGGTAATTGAATTAATCCGTTCCCCACCCTCCAAAATATTAACATACAAATACATTTTATACTGAATACAATGTTTTTTTCTAACTACAATACAGTACCTAAGTTTATCTTACCTTCATGGAAGGCTCTTGATGGCATATGGAAGATGGTGATGAGGGAGGAGGAGAGTTGTTACTGTTTGGAAGGGGAGTCCCCTTCCATTATCACATCAGGCAGTGATGTTTTCTCTGGCGTACTCTCTCCTACGTTTTGCCTGAATACCACTAGGACCTGGTTGTGGTTCAGTGCTTGTTTGTCTCGCTACAAATTTGTCAAGAGATTTGTTTTTCCCTTCATTTTAACATTTGTCTGTAATGATGCATCACTTTAGCACCCATAATGTCCTTTTTCTTAGCCAGTATGGTGGATATCGTTGACTGAGATTTGTTGTACTGCCTAGCCAGTCCAACAACCCGCACACCATCTTCATATTTACGAATGATCTCTTGTTTCTGCTCTATGGTCATTCTTACAAGGGATCTTATATGTTGAGCCTTACCACTGACTTTCCTGGGATTCATGGTGTGATATATAATAATTACTTTAATGTTCAAAATGCAAAAAATCACCACAAACGTGGAATTTCTTATAGGCGCGATCGTCACTAAGCGGGCAGCTGTAGTAAACTGAGGCAGGTCGGACCGCGTGACCGGGAACCATGCGCTTAGTCGACCCGAACGTGTACCAACAAATATAGTAAGTCGACGACACCATCGGATGTCGAGTCACATTTTTCGATGAAATTTACATTGTAACTCGAAATTATCATAAGTCGGGGCAATCGTAAGTCGAGGTGCCACTGTACTTATTGTCAGAGAGAATTAGACATAAGGATAAACTGGCTTGTTGAATTCAAATCCAGGCTCTGACTTATTATTTTTTGCTAAGACCATGTCTGGTAGCAGCAACAACTGATGTGGAGGTATTCAGAAGAAGCAAGTTATGCTATGTATTAAAGATTAGCTAAGAGTGATTGAATTTTGTGGAAATTGGAGTTTGTTTTTGGCACAACTGGTAAAAAATTTGGTTCAGTGGAATGTTCAAGTAACTTGAATGGGGTGGGCCATATATGATTTGAATTACTAAGCTTAAACTGTGGTTTATTGTTCTATTACCAAGGAAGTATTAGATGTTATCTGAGATCCAACACTTAACATCCAATACATGTGTATGTGAAGCAATCTACTGTCTCGTATATGTTTCCTTTATCTATTGGAATTAGTAGATTGATCAGTGCCATTAATAAGTGTTACAGTAATGTAACATAAAACAGAATGGAGGGGAGTAAACTCAACCACTTTATTGTGTGTGGATGTACACTTCAAAGTCAAAACTTTACAAATGCTTTACAGTTAATTAAAAACATATTTGAGATAAAATAGATAGTCAATATACATGTGAAAAGTGTGCCATCAGTGATAACACAATTCCAAAAGATACTTTGCATAGGTTTTCATAAAGATTCTCACCTTCCAAACCCTGATATCTGTCCAGAGCTGCAGGAATTCTTGTAGACCAAGCATGCCAGACCTGTCAACATCCATCATGGCAATCATGCTGCGACACACGTCCTTGCTGAAGCCCTCAAAGTTGAACTCTATTTCAGACACAAAATGGAATTAGCAAGGTCAAATATGGAAGATGATGGCAATACTGAATTATATCCACAAAAATCTGCACATTTCCTGGACAAGAAAGTCTCTGTAAACAAATCTGTATGCCAAGAAATATCCAAAGACAATATTTAAGAAAGCAATAGTCCAATTGGTAATGATTTTTGTGGAAATATTTTTGGGCCATCAATCAAATTGAAATTTTATATGCACTTGAAAGCAGACAGTAATGGGGATAATGAATCCATTGTTCGAGTTAAAAATAATTGGGCGCAGTGTGAAATGAGATACTCCTATCTGAGTGGGGTCACTTGGTTACTTCCTCGGCTAAAGCCTAAATGGTCCAGCCAGACTCACTTTACTCATCTTGCTCTAGTGACTTGTCTCCTTAATGTAACAAGAAATTCTTCAAATGGAGTTGCTGTATGTAGTTAGGGGAGGGGAAAATAGTGGGGGATTCTAACTACCAGTAAATTCATAACTGATTTTTACTAGAAGACATCACAAAACAAGTCACTTTAGAACCCACATCAAGAGATATCTGGAATCCCCTAGATGCCCAATTATTGCTCTACAAACTTGTGGTTAGTAACTATAGCCACTACGCTACCATTTGATAGCAGCTCTGGCCACTCAGCAGAGTTGGGGAAGCCAGCAACCCTCGCTTGTTGAGATAGCTACTTTATTTATAATACGGGTACGTCCAGCTGAGATAGACTGGTTGTTCAGACCATGCCCCTGATCTCTTGCAGAATAGGAGTCTGTTATTTCCTGCTATGCATACGCTGAGTCACAATAACGTGGTTGAAGTTATGATGACCAAACCACATATCAGAAGATGGAAAAACAATGATGTTTCGGTGCGTCCTGAACCATTATCAAGTCGTGTGTGTGTGTGTCAAGCTGCACACATGACTTGATAATGGTCCAGGAAGGACCAAAATGTCATCATTTCTCCATCTTTTGATGTGTGGTCTGGTCTTTATTCTCTGCTATGTCCTGCTTAGATATCTGGGCCTGATGGATTTAAAGATCAAACTAGACATTTGCCACCCATTATCCCTTAAATATGCCTCATCCTGGTCAGCACTGTGTGACCCCTGGGTCACCTCTTCCCCACCTGACTGCTGTCTGGTGGCCAGTTTGTCTCCTCCATGATCCTCATTCTTGCTGAGTACAGTTCAGATAAGTTCATTTTTCTTTTCTTTTATTGGGCCTGCTCTGAAAACAACCACGGTGCGGTGTTCAACCATGGTGCCTGGCTCAAAAACTGGGTTGGTGTTAAGTGAAATAAAATACACTGAGTGGGTCTTAGTTGCTCCCCTTCCCACCCTTTTGGTTCCCATCTTTCCCGACTATGCTGGGGTAGCTTGGGTTGCAAATGTGGGCTGCAGGCATCTTAGATGTTTGTTGTGGCCAGTACTGCCATCTGGTGGCAGTTAGGGCAGCAGTTAGTTGTTAATCGATAGATAATTGAGTATCCTAAGGTTTCCAATAAGTGCTTAATAGGATTTACTGAGCGATATATTTTGTGACCGTTTTCTAGCAAGCTGTCAGTTAGTGTAGACCAAGTTAGACTTTACACTGTCTTCCTCCACCTATATGGAAAACCCATTTTTAAAGTTTCTTGTCATAGTTGGATAACAAGTCAGCTAAACCCTGGTGAGAGAATAGAGTTTTGGAAAGACTTTTAGGCACTGGCTCAGAGAGCAACAGAAGCCTGACTCAGAACATATTTGAATGTGTTGGGATATAAATGATTTAATTACTTATGAGAAAGGAAGCTCAAATATTACTACTATTGTGCTCTAAAATGCAATTACTTTAACATTGAGTGTTTGGGTGTTATGTCATCAACGAAATAAAATATCTGGAACATAATATAAATTATCAATAATTGATTTTATACAAAAAAAATTAAATCAGCATGTAGTTTAACATAGAGAAACAAACAGTTTATATGTTTACTCAGAAATAAATTAAATCATAAAATAATTAAGGAAGACAAGTGCAGGAAAATGTAACTTTGTACCGTCATAAAGAGTTTGACAAGAGAGGAGAGAGCTGTAGTCAAAGCTTTATTACAACAGTTCAACTGCTGACTTAAGTTAAAACAGTAGTAAAAGAATTATAACAAAACATTATAAAACAGAGCATCAAGGAGAGACTTGGGTCAAGGAAATAGACGTCTTCACCGTCAAAAATAGGTCTTCTGTATGGAATCATGTTACACTCAAACATCACTGCATCACTTTAATAAATATAGACAATGTACAATAAGCATTTGTGAATATCTAAGAGGTTTTCTATGTGATGAACATGTTCAGTTGATATATATTTTATATATTTCAACAAAGTTTACTATTCTATAGACAACATTGCATCTTTTTGTAAAGTGTGTGTAAAACATGTGAGAAAATAATTGAGAAGCAGCCAACATGTTGGGTGATACTGACCATCAAAATCTTGAAGGATTTTGTTTTCTATTACTGTATGAGTGTGACTGAAGGCAGAACACACAAGGTAAGGGAAGCAATACATCAGTGCTTGCCTGGGTTAACACACTATTAAACGACTTGATTGATAATGTGTTAAGGCATCAAGGCACTTGGATATGGTGACCAGACTACACACTAGAAAGTGAAGGGACGATGACGTTTTAGTCCGTCCTGGACCATTCTCAAGCCGATTGTGTGACAGACACAATCAACTTGAGAATGGTCCAGGATGGACCGAAACGTTGTCGTCCCCTCACTTTCTAGTGTGTGGTCTAGTCAGCATACTTCAGCCACATTATTATGACTCATCGTCTGAACTTCTATATAGTTTTCTATTTACTGTGGAATTGATTATATGATTAAACAACATATCTTTTGTAATTTTGTTGTATTACGGTATTATGTAGAGCAGCACAGAACAAGTCAATAGAGTTTTGATAACATGAAGAATGCTGGAGTATTTAAGACACTGTCAAGATAACACTTTAGATTGTCAAGATTAATTTGATAAAATTAAATTTTCAGTTGAAATAATTTTTGTTAGCATTTTAAAAGATTTTGTAGGCCTAATCATAACATGCTTAATGTGACGTGTTTTATTTGTACAGTACAAGCCCAACTCCGTTATGCCACCATGAGCGAGGGGGGAAGAATCTCATCCTTCTCATCCAGTGCTTATTATCACCTATATATCAATTAGACTGTTTTACACTTTTCCTTCTTGCTTTCAATTCAGATACGTAATGTATATCCAAATCAAATTTACACACCACCAGACTGTTTGTATTAGCTGTCGGCTCTAATGAAATGCCTTTCCACTTCTTCAGTCACAAATTTATTTAATAACCTATTACTGTATGTAATGTTTGTGTAACTGCAAAATCCAGGGAAAATTGATAGGGAAGACTTCCTGAGATCTGTAACTTCGAGAACGAGAGGTCATAGATTTAAACTAACTAAGCAAAGTTGCCGAAGAAATATAAGAAAATTCACTTAGACGAACAAAGAGGAAGGTGGGTGGAAGAAGTTAAGTGAGAAGGTGGTGGAGGCCAAAACTGTCAATAGTTTCAAAGCGTTATACAACAAAGTGCTGGGAAAACGGGACACCATGAGCATAGCTCTCATCCTATAATCTCACACATATACCCACACATACACACAATTGTTCCTCCCATAGCCACATCAGCGAAATGCTGGTACTATCTCACACCCACGCTGTGGAAAACATTGGCTCTGCAAGGGCAAAGTTGTGCCACAACTAAACACCATACAGTATTCCAGATTTAATGGCCAATGACTCAGTAAATAAGGAACCAGTTATCAATCTCAAATTCAGTTGTTAGAACCAGCGTAACACTAACTCATAAGTCCATAAATTGAGTGGTTACTGCATAAATGTTGACAAATTATGACTGCTAATACAGATGGTACTGGGTTGTTCCTGAAGATAGGGAGGTATGTAATGACTTTTACTGTATATTAAGTCTAGCTTTTGTTGATTGGTATATAAAGTCCAGCTTTTGTTATCATTAATCTAAATGTTTCTCTTAGTTAAAATACCAGTTTGTTTTATTTGTGTTAATTTGTATGTTTCATTTTGTAAGTGTTGAAAATATGTTAAATTGAGCTTTAGTAAATGTCTATGCCTTGAATGTATGTGTAAAGTTTTTTCCTGTGCACTTTGTGAGGTGGCATCCCTGCATCCCACGAGAACAGAGATAGGGGCTAGACACCACACACACAGAGGGTGTGTGGGGTGGTGTGTGCTCGTGAGGTGCCCACCTCAGATGGTACTGAGGTCCATCATGGTACTGAGTACAACCTCACTGAGGTTGGGCACCAAAATCATCTTGAGACGATTTCGGGGCTTAGCGTCCCCGCGGCCCAGTCCTCGACCAGGCTTCCTTTTTTGTAACACACTCCCAGGAATCAACCATAGTAGCTGTCTAACTCCCAGGTACCTATTTACTGCTAGGTGAACAGGAGCATCAGGGTGAAAGAAACTCTACCCATTTGTTTCTGCCTCCACCGGGGATCGAACCCTGAACCTCAGGACTACGAATCAGAAGTGCTGTTTACTCAGCCGTCAGGCCCCGTGAGGGTACTTGAGTACCCGCATCCATCTGGTGAGCGAGAGGTTATTTACCATTATGTTAAGTCCCATTTCCTGTCTTTTAATAACTATAATGCACACACTCTGATTTTTTTTATTGAGTCCTGCCAATTCCAAAGTATAGCACCAGCCCAAGTGTTTACTCTTGTATTTGAGGGGTTCTCTTTACAATAAACACTTGCTCTATATTTCTGATTTAAAGTAGAAAAGGAGGATCTGATTCTTATTGTTGAGCTATTAAGAACAAGCCAAATGTTCACATCAATTTCCTCCCAACTCCTTACATTCTCTGTGTTGAACGTTTGTTCTAAGAACAAAATCTTTCAAAATTTTTAAGTTTCTTTGTAGTTTGTAGTCCAGATTTTCAGGTCAC